ACCTGAGTGAAACCATCAGCGCCGTTTTATAACAGGGTCTACAGCTTATCCTGAGCCTTTCGTTTAGTTAAATGTACGATACTTGCATTGCCTTGGCCTTGAACGAGCGTCCAGATGCAGTCTTAGATAAAAGTCTTGATGGTTTGGAGGTTCGGTGGTGTAGGAGTTGCGATCATGTTCTTCCGGGTTTAAAGAGTGATGAACTCCAAAAAGATGTTATTCTGACTCTGTGGTGGTTGGGAGAATTTTCTCCCAGATGGAACGTGAAGAAGAGCTAAGAGAGATATCAGCTAAGATCCAAGGATCGTTGGCGAATGTAAAGACAAGGCCTAAGCCTGGTGCAGACTTAAGGGTTGCAGAAGAGTTCTAGCTCATATCCTCATCTTCTCAGAAACTAACAGAACCGCAGACTAAAGGCGGGTCACTGATGTGACGCCTTTATCTTCTATCGAGGTCACACCTCTCGGGGGTCAAAGAGCCAATGATGACTTGCACTTCTGGAGGGAAAGTTTATGACTCTTTGTCTCTAGCATGGGGTTTTGCATATGAAACTCGATTGGGTGTTCAAGAGAAGAATCTTCAAGATTCTTATAATACTAATGTGTTGCATAGGTATCAACATATAATATACACTCTCATTTAGATCATGAAAATACGAACTCATAGATACCAAACATGGTATAGGTGAGGTTATATTAACTAGTGATCTATCATAAGCATGCATAAAACATATACAATATACAAAAAGGTAGTAATCATACACAATGACCTGGGGATATGCATGATAGAAAAATTTGTCTATGAATGAATGTAATAAGTCATTTCCTATAGCAGTATGTGTCTGTTTGAGAGAATTAAGTAGGAGGGAAGATTCTCTCTACATACTTTTAGGTCGTAAAGTTTATCTGATCTGGCTGAGGTGTCCTGGTTGCCATGGTAACCAGGGGCCTGGACGTCATTCACAGACATATAGGTCACACAGACACCCAGTCTGGTGTTGGGTGAGGGGGTTTGTGATTGTTTGTTAATCTAATGAATAATTGATTTGTTAAATCTAACGAACAATTGTGTGTCTGATTGGTCCAAATGCTACAGTTTCATTTGTCCCATATTCTCTCCCTTGTAACATCCTCATTTCCTTCCCTAATTATTCTCTCTGTGCTCTATACTGTGTCAGAATTTCGTCAATTGTTCTTTTGTGTAGGGTTCCCAATTGTGCCCTTCCCTGCTTTGTTTTTGAAATTAAATAAAATAATCCTCACCATCCTTTGAACCAAATCTGACAGACATATCTCACATATACAGATTACTTTTAATGGCTTATAGCAATGGTAAGGCATTAGCGATGTTGCCTTGCTAAACAGACAAACTGCGCTTGTTTATTGTATTTTATGCTGTCCAGTGCAATTAGAAAGGGAGAGTTTATAATATTTGAAATATGGATTAAATAATTTGAAGTTGGTTGTAAAAATATTGAGATTCTCTGTCATTTGTGGAGTATAGAGTTATGTGTGTTTGGACTCAGAATTGAGATCCTCTGCTGTCACCACACCTGGTCCTGGCACGTAGCTTCAAAATTCCAAAGCTCACAAATCACCATGGAAACACAACAGATAATGGGAGAGTGCCTCAGCCTGTGACTATATTCATTGGCAAGTGTGATATGTGTGTGTCCAGGATGATGGGAACCTATAATGGTTCATGCCACTGAGACTGTAATAAGTATATTTATATATTTGTATTTGAGCTCTAATAAGTATATTTATATATATATTCCTGGTGGAATTACCTGCCCAAATCAATCCGAGCAGCTGAGTTCTTAACCATCTTCAAGAAACGACTAAAAACACATTTGTTCCAATTGACATATGACAGAGCATTACATGTTTCAAACACACAGAAAACATTAATGTTGTTTAACATGTTTTAAGGAAATATGACCCAAAATATCTTATTTATTTGGCTGTAAATGCTATGGATTTTTCAGTTCCTTCTGTGTGTGTGGTGGGGGGATTTGGGGCATGCCATCTCACTGAGCTCATCTGGATGACTGCTTGAAGGGGGAGGAATGTTGATGGGCAGAGACAGAGACAGACAGAACAAAGAGAGAAGGGTGTCATCATAGATTTGGGTAATGATAGTGAATGAGCCACAGGAATCTAATGACT